CACAAAGACATTACAATACAAAACTCTTGTAGAGTTATAGATAACAAATAATCGAGTACATGAAACCAACACAAAGACATTACAATACAAAACTCTTGTAGAGTTATAGATAACAAATAATCGAGGACATGAAACCAACACAAAGACATTTCAATACAAAACTCTTTGTCGATTGGATGGTGTAAGTCATGTGAAGTAACACGTTGCTTTAATAAAATATAGTAAAAAGGAAACCAAAACCGTTTTGTATAGTTTAATGTTTTACTTTTTTTCTTTAGAACTGAAATAGAAATGCAAACTATTAAACCTACCAGTTTATGAGTTATTATAAATTCTCTTATCCTAATAGTCCTAAAATTAAAGCCTTAAATTGATTACAACGTTCCTATAAAATTCTGTAAGAAAATATCTTCCCGTGACTCAACGCAGCAAGAACCTTTTCGATCTCTTAATGAAGCGAAACTTTTCTTTAGACTAAGCTGCAACATTCATATCAAGCTAATTAGATAACCAGCTATGTTATAAATTCTAAAATATTATAACATGTTCTCGAGTATATTTTTTATATGTGCTAATTGAAAGACCAGGGAAATTTGCTTAAGTCGACAACCGCATAAAGTTACTAATTCACGGATCAATCAATGTGTACAATTCCTGTCATATACGTAAAACCATATAACAGACTGCTAAATCCGAGGTACTTAACGTTGCTCACAGTGGTTCGACGTTTCTTTTTACTGATAAGAACATAATCTTTGATTTTAAGTTCCTTAGCTGAATTCATGATACATAGCACTCTCTTTAACTGAAATAGCTGTCCGTAACTAAATTAAGGAACGATTTTTTTACAAACAGAAGCAACTGCTATTACGTGCAGAAGAATTCCGAATATTTTCTGTTAGGTTTACTAACAAAAATACTCGAAAAATGTGGGAAAAAATTAAATATCTATATAAAAGAAATGCGATGAACGCAGGAATACAACGTTAAAAAACAAAAACGAAGAAAAAAAAAGAAGCGTTAATCATTTGAAGCACCATTTTCTTGTTTCAAGTCAGACAAAGAAGGATGGCTTCAAAATACACACCATTAGTCAACAGCAGTAAAATAACCAAAAGATGCTGTTGGGCCAGTGATTCCTTAGTTTAACGTTCCGATGTGCTGAAGCTACGTTTTCTTCTCATAGGGCAGGACCAGGGTTTAGCGTGACAGGTTGCGGAAGCTAAGTTTACTACTAATGCTACTAGGCCGAACGTTGCAAGGCTGAGTTTCAAAGAGTCAAAGGTCAGACTTGTTATGCTTTTGCACATGCTCCGCACTTATAATTGTTGAAGCGTTATAAAAGTCGCAGTCATCTTATTCTTTTTACAGACACAAAGTTCTTGCAAATGCTGGTGCTGTTGACTGGCTACTCTCACTCTGCTTGGTAGTTCAAAACCAGACGGCTATGTTTGAACCCTAAAGGTTCCTTACCGGGTTGTTCAGACCATGTGTCGCATAAGTTGTCATTCAGATTGAAAATTCCAATTCTTCAAATGCTAATTTTTTTTTTTTTTTGTTGTGTGTGCTCATTTGAGGATAATAATGTCTCTCAGATAGTTATTACTTTTAAATTAAACATACCCACCTACTACAAAGCATTGAAGCTGTATTTTTTAACATTATTAAACAGATAACCATAAGAAATGTATTTCTATATACAGGTGATTATATATATATGTGGTTATTCTAAACAAAACTTATTATTTTTGTACGAAACCTCAAGAGTAAAAATATTGATTTGTTACATGATAGTTTTGGAACAAAGAAATCAGTTTACTAATTTTAACGTTCCCTTGAGGGGGGAGGTGTAGTGACAATTTTACGGACTTATAATGCTAAAATCTGGGGCTCGATGTCTCGCGGTGGATAATGCGAGGATAACCCGTTGTTAGCTCTTGTTCAAACAACAACAAATAACTTTTGTGTATTATTTTTCAAATTAATATACTTATGGTGAACAATTAATATGGACAATTTGTTGAGTAATTTTGAAATGTGCCATTTTCAACATTATAATTCACATTGCCTAATTTTTAAATGATAGACGAGTGGGAAGGCAGTTACTCGACATAACTCATCATTAATTCTCTTGTCTGAACGAATGGTTTTATTTGACCATCACTGTTATGGTACACCCACGGCTCCAAAGTGCATTACGCGTCTTTGTAGCAAACGGGCCGTGAACCACGAATCCTTGGAATCATAGAGCAGCACGTTAGAAACTTGACAAAATCCGGC